CTCTGCTGAGTGTTTACTTGTTTACTGCATTCCACATGCTATTTAGCATCTGATGTAAGCATTAGATGCATGCATAACCATGAAGTTTTCCTCATCTCATTCCGGAGTAGAAACAGAAGGAAAATACAAAGTTTATCCAAGTATGCTTCGAGCATTATTATGCAGAACACATTAAATTTCTACTTAAAAGAGATGAAAGAACCACCCCATGATACCAACTCAAACCTTTTCCATTTCTCCCTCAAGCTCCCACCTCTAAAAAAGACTCCTTTGTGTTAAATTTATGAATGAGGTTAGGGCTTACAAAAGTCAAGGATTAATAACATTCGCTTGAGCCAAAAACAGGATGATAGGCACTGTGCATGTTCCCCTCCAATCCATCTCAAGTCAGACCTGCAGTACCCCTGCTGCTTTTCCAATCCGAGGCCTCTCACAGGCAGAGGCTGCCAGTGGAGCTGAGTGGTGCCAAACTGTCTGGTGGTTTTGTGATAGAGCCAAACAGGGACTATGGTGAGATGAAGCTCATTTCCACCCATGAGCAGAGCAAAGATGTGAATTTAGGTGAAAAGATGGAGTACTAGGCCTTTTAGTTCTTACCAGCCACATAAAGATAATGGAAATTAAAATAAATTGGAAAAAACATCCCAACCAGACAACATGTTCTGTGAGACTTATGTCCCACAGAAAGGTTTGCAGAGTGAATGTCAAAAAGATCCATAAAAGAGGTAAAGTAGTATTTATAGTTTATTTTCTGACTTGCAAAAGAGAAGGACTGTCAGAATGGAATGCAAGACAACGCAAAGAATCTTTGGCCTAGATTTTTTCAGGGAATTATAGAAGGCAAGGTATATGTATTAAAACAAGCAGAGCCTAAATGGTTTTAAATTTACCACGTTAGCTCCTGCAATGCCAATTTAAACTATCACTTTCTACTAAAAAAAAAAAAAAGTTAAATTGGGTGGTATTCAGTTCTGATTTAGAAACTCARTAGAAATCTAATGTTTAAGTCACAGCTGAAGCAGCTGAAACAGTATTTAAATTGTAGCCATCCTGACCCAAATAAAAAGAGAAAAAGGAAACCCTTTCCTTTAAAACTATTAGTGTAGACGTGGCTTTAGCGATTGCATCAGCTACTAAGGCTCCAATTTTAGCTTTTTATTTTTTTTTTAAAGATATATATTAGCATTACAATGAAGAGAAAATAGAATTCTCTTGTGTTTAACAAGTTTAATCTATGTGCAGAAGCACTAATTTTGAAAGAAAGCTAGATACAATTAAAACAAGTTCTCTACTCATTTTTAAGTATTCTGGTAGACTACTGAGAAAAAAAAAAAACCCAAAAAAACCCCAAAACCTCCAAGCAATGTGCAAAACTTTTTAATTTGTAAAGTGAAATTTGCATGCCCCAGGTACATGCATTTAATTTCCAAGCATATTCCAAATTTAGGTGTCACTATCTCACTATACCACACCAAGACTTCAAATCCATATATTTTTCCCATTTTTATGTAAGCATGTTTTTTGCCATTATTACTTAGTGTTTTTTGCAAGTTTTGCTTTTTTAATTGTAAATTTCACTATCTACATTCAGTTATTTTTATTCAGGAAAGAAACTAGTATGAGATTCATTGCACYTTCCAATGAGATGGGGGATGAGTGAATCAAAGTGCAAATGCTGCCTGTCCAGGGGGCATCAGGTGATCACTTTATGTACAAACACTATTACAAAAATGATAAAWGAAACGTAAATATCTTTTTTWAAAAAAAAAAGTGTGACTTTCTACAGAGACCTACAGAGAACAATAAAAAACAGTTTTATAAAATGTAGCTCAGTAACATTCCATTGCTTTTACCCATAACACTCTCTGATGTTTGCYGAAATCAATGTTAATGAAGCCAAAGAACATATTTTGGAATTCTTCCCAATTCTATGCTAGACTGGTTTTCCAAAATAATTTTCAAATACATTGAATCTTAAATCAAAACACGGCCGAACCTCTGATGCTGCACTTATTAAAAATATGCATGTTTCAGCACCTGGGATAAAATCTAAACAAAACATANGAACCTCTGATGCTGCACTTATTAAAAATATGCATGTTTCAGCACCTGGGATAATATCTAAAAAAAAAATAAATATAACCCAAATCAAAAAAAAAAAAAAAAAAAAAAAAAAAAAAAAAAAAAAAATCAATGTTTTGTTGAAAAATGTGAATTCCATTGCTTTTCAAAACTCTGCCAGATAGAGGTGAAGAATGTACTATAGTCTGTACCAAGACTATATCCATGGTTTTATCAGCAGAAAAATATCCATCAAAAATGTGAAGAGGTATTCCTGACCTGCAATTTATCCTGACAAAGCCCCCAGCTTTGCAGTTACATCATCAAACCTGCTTTTACTGGCATAACTACTTTCACAGAGMATGTTAAAAGTGCATGAGCAAAGTTCTCCTGGAAAAGACAGGAGTTCAGAGTATGAAGTACATCCACATCGAGAGTATTTTGCCAGAAGAACATATTAGCCAATCCTAGGAGGGCTTTGTGAAACTTCAAGCTTTTCTTTGATTTCATCATCAGCACAAGAACCTGCAGGCAAGTTTTGYACTGACAGTGCAGTGGCAGTTTAGAGAACCACAGAGGCTCTCTCAGAGCAGCCTGACTTTCAGCCAACAMATTACTCTTCCTCTACATGAGCCAAGAACCTGGTTTCAGAATCTTTTCAGCAGAACTGCACACCTGCACACCCCTAACCATCCAGCTATAGGTCTAAATTAACAAAGATGCTGAATGTCTCCCCTAGCATCAGAAAAAATTTAAATTCTTATCAAAATAAGAATATATCAATATATGCATATCTATATATGCAAATATAGACACATACATAAAACCACCACATATATTCAACCAATGTCTTTACTTTAAAGTCTGCCATTCAAGTTTGGTAGTTCTAGGCCTTGCTTTTATTTTCTRTGAAAGAAAGGAAGACAACTGTTACAAAACTATTTCAAAAAAGCGTAGTGCAGTTTGTTCTTGAATATCAAAACAGTATGAAATAGGTCTGTAAATGCTTCTGTTATTTTGGTTTCAACCAATGACATGTATCATCACAAACTTCAGCATTGCTGCAAACAGTGGCAAACACTGCTGTATTTAGGAGCATCTGTTTTATTTTACTGCGTCAGCTAAAGCTGCTTATCAGCAACAGAGGGCTGTACACAACTTTGCCAGTCAAAGACAAACTGTGTGGGTATGTTATATTCTTGGAATATACAACTTCTGTTTTGCTAAAAGCCACTTCTGAATCAATCATGCATGACTCTACCTGCTCTAGAAAAAAGAGTAATCTCAACTTAAAAAAAGAAGAGAGTGAAATAAACTGTTTATTCACATCTTTTAATTACAACAGTATCTTTCTTCCCATCTGTTTACCAAAGTACTGAAATTCAAAGTGTTAAGAAAAAAACAAATTCCTTTATTTGAGTCAGGAGATCTTGCTGGTTAATCCTTCAYACATAGTTTACATCTGTAATTACCCAAAGAAACCAGAACAAATGAAAAATGGACTGGATCTCARAAGTGCAGTTGGATGGAAAAAATGAAGCACTGGTCCAGCAGATGTGGTCTGAGGTGCTCTAGGCTGCATGTGATATAGAGAGGAAAGTAATTTCCCAGGGGAGCAAATCCTCCTGTATTTTCCCAGTACCTGCTGTGTTGACAGRGAAGCAGAGGAGCCCATGAGCACGTGTGATGTGCCACAGATAACTCCAGCATCACTATAGCCTGTCCTCAGTGAAGTAACAAGTACATTATTTACAGAATATTCACTATGCCCTGCTAACCCAGAACACACAGCTTCAAAGGCTTCCACTCACAGGCTTGATTTTTTTGCAACACAATGAGTACATTCACACTGCAATCTCTCAGTTGCTTTTCCTGCCTAAGTAGACCATAAAAAATACATGGTCAAGGGTTCTTTTTTTTTCATGTATTAGTGAGTGCCAGACAAAATCTGCTATTATAGTAGTTTATACCCTCCAAGAATTTTTTTTCTGACTTTGAAACCTCTGTACCTCAAAAGTCTGTGTCACAATTTCCTTTGCCATTCAGCATTCATCCACACTTACGCACAAATTCAGAAAGAAACTCAACCCCACTACTTTTCAAGGAAACATTTCCTACCTTAAAGCCACAAACACCATAAAAAAATTATATTAAGAAAAATTAAACACTTCTGAAATTTAGTAGTATATATTTAATATATGTTGCATACATACTACATGCAATTAATTTTATGTTATATATTTAATGTTATCTTTGGATATCTAAGTATAGGGGTAGTTGTTCAACTTTTAGCCTCTAGGTTAGATCTCATAAACTTGAAAATTCCTACAGAAAAAAATTTTTATCTCTATTGCCACCTACTACTGAACACATGGTATCATTTAATAGCAAGACTTGAGCTTACAGCAAATGTTGAATTCAATTTTCTTTWAAATAGTTGGGTCAGGATTCAAACAAGAAGTAATGTGCACTTTTAAATTCCCAGTCCTTTCTCCAGTGACTGAAGATCTTTGACATCCTACTTGCCAAAAAGAGCAACCACCTTCAGAACTGAAATCTGGCATTAAATACCACAATATTTTAATGGTTAATATATGGGAGTTATTATAGGTAGAATTCCGATCCACATCATCGCTCTATAATGCTACTRTAACACACACTGCACCATCATCTTCTATTTATATGAAGGAGATAGAAAGCGACTATGAGGACAGTACCCAAATTTCAACTAGAGGCTGTGACTTCTGTGAACMATTTAGTCTTAACCACTTAAAAACACAGTTCCTGGACAAAAATACACTGCTGAGCTTCAGTTTTGTCATTTTATATACATGTGAAAAAAGACTTGTTATGACATTCTGTACCAATATTCAGAACTATATTTTATAGCATTGGAACAAAGTAACTTATTCCTACAGTTAATATGTATTAAATGGTACCTGGCAGGAGCCGTTGGGTAAATTACTTTTATATGTTGGAAAGCCATGTCTTGATTCAAAATTTGTTTTATCCATGCTCTTGCTCCCTGGCCAGTATCACCTGTATCACAAAGAAGAGTATAACAAGAATTATTCTGTGCATTTAGCAAGAAAATTATACATCAAATACAATTCAGATTGATTTCAAATTACAAAGTTAATACACCAAATGCTAAAAAATAACTTTTTAAAACAACTTCAGTCCCCTTTCCAATGAAGAAGGCCTCAAAATTTCCCAGAAAGACTACTTAAGAGATCCCACAACATAAGTTTAATAAATATTTCACTACATTCAATGACTGAAGTATCTCCGAAGCACACACAAGAGCTACCTCTTACTTACAGTTTACCTTATTTGCTGGTAAATGATACATAGAAATCTTGATAAACGTCTTTAAAAGTGAGAGAAAGTAACTGTTGCTCCCCTTACAAAAGAGAATTACTTTTACTAGAGAATTTTGTGTTAATCCACTTCAGAACCAAGTAAAAAAGGATCTTCATTTAATTATGCTAATATTGCACGTARACTTTAAAGGGGAAAAGACAATTTGTAAAGAGACAGGCTCAGTTAAAATATCTGGTAGCCTTTAAAGAAACAGTAATCATATAGTTCTTTAGGAAAAGTAGTTGAGGTCCATTCCCAATCTGTTTTTTCCCTAGTCTTATAACTCAGCCTATGGCCAAAATCCCTGCAGACTGAAGTGCTATGAACAGATWAACAGGATCAATTCTTATGGAGACAGCATATGCTCCTTTCATACAAATATAAACACCAGACAGTTTCTCCAGCTTGTCTTCGCATCACTGGTATCTTCAACCATAACTTCACTGCCACCCCTCTGAGGAACACATCCAAGTCCTCAGTGTTCAAGCTTTTTGAGAAAATTGGTCCACCAAGGACTATAGTTTACACTGGCAAGGATGTTCAGCCTAAAAAWCTTAGTGGGGACTCAACAAACTGGAATTTTACTACTGCCACTCATGCTATAGGACTTCAATCTTGCTTGAAGTTGAGGTTCCCACATACAATCAACTCAAATTGCTAATATTCTTTATTACATTAGCTCAAGTTGTTTGGTTTGACTTCAGAACTCATCCCATTCTTTTCAATAAAATGGCCAAACCAAAAAAAGAATATCACTTTCCTAAGCCAGGCTTACTGCCACATTACATGAGCTTTTCTGAACAATGTCACATGAATATACCAATTGATTGTTAAAATTATTATAATTCCCCAATGGAGAAAATCTGCCCTTGCTTTAGCACTCTAACGAAATTCAGTAGTTTTTATTTACACACAGAATTAACGTATCTTCAAAATTAAAACAGAAGGCAAGAAGGATTCAAACCAAGCAATTTTCTTCTCCTTTTAAGCACAACTAGCATAACTAGAACTAACTGTTGTCTATTGGACCTGAACACCTCATGTGACAAATAAGCAACAGGGCTGCAAAACTGACGCAAATGTTACTTTGTGCTAAGTTMAACAGTAAAATCAAAGTTACATCCTTAACTGGATGCTTCAGAACACACTCCCACAAGAACTTTGCTTATGCAAGTATGGTCTGAAGTCCAAACATAGTTCTGACTCTTCACAGACACTCTTGAGTGCAAGGGTTTCCTCAAGGTTGTTGTCACCTCACTTATAAACAACATCTCTTGGGGAGGCTTGAACTAACATTTTTTCTCATATACACTCCTTTTTTTTTCAGTTAGAAAGCCAAGGCCTATGCCTTGCAAATACTTGCGCAGAATGAACCCTCAGGTAAGCCAACCATCTATCTGAATGACTACAGATTTGGGACTTAGCTCTTTACAAACTCCTTAATGATGCAGGACAAATCATTATTCTGACACTTATTCACACATCTTAAACTTTGCAAAGATCTGCAGAAATATTTACTGTTATTGAAGACAATTTGTCCATGAAAAGGTCACAGAAACTCAGAGAAAATTTAAACTATGACCTTCCGTGTGTCAAGAACTGTCATGGTCCAAATGTTACTCAAACATGTGAGCACTTGTATGCTCAGATAATGTATTTTGATTTCCTAAGAACAGAACTCAGAGGAGAGGCAGAAAGAGAGGACTGTGACATCAAACAAAAGCCAACAAACCTCGTGGAAGGTTCAGGCTCTTCTGGAATTTCAGCATTKTATGTTCTTCTAACACAACAATAAGAAGCAAATTATGGGTGATTCTGCTTTGAATCAGTTTACAAACTGAAGAAGACTGAYGGCAGCAATATTATCTTTTCCCCCCTCCTCAAGCAAAACATTAATTTCTTTCCTTTCACATATAGCTTGAACGTCCAATTTTTTTTTTCTGTGCAAAGTTTAACAACATGTAGATTGGATGTTAGGAAAAATTTATTCACCAAAAGGGCTTTCAAGCACTGGAACAGGCTGCTCAGGAAAGTCACTGAGTCACCATCCCAGGAGGTATTTAAGAGATGTGTAGATGTGGCACTTAAGGACATGGTTTAATGCTGGACTTGGCAGCATGAAAGGTTGGACTTGATGTTGTAAAAGGTCTTTTCCAGCATACGATTCTGTGCTTGTTACAACATGCAAAGTTGTAATCCTAAAAAGCTATTACATACTTGCTCTGTCCATTTGCCTTCCCTGCCAAGCTACCAAATGGAACCTCTGCCTTAATCTGATGTACAGTGCCAGGAGTTTTCTAATATTTTTCTACCCCATTTTGCATTTACATTCTGCACTTGTTATAGTTTGTCTAGAGCAAGCACTATGAACAGAATGGATTCATACCATTTGACTGCCACTTTCCATCACGAATACTGTGCAAAAGTTTACAACACAGGTTTACAGGCCAGCCCACAGTAACARCACTGTGGCTACTTCTGTTTTAAATTCTATTCTGTGGAACTGCTAGGAACCAAATAAAGCCACCCCATTACAAACATTATGAATAAAATTATATAAAAGAAAAGAAAAATTGTACTTTGATCACATCTGGAATCAACCTCTAACTATAATCTTGCCTTACTCCTCCAATATTATAGATAATTATTTCCTCGAGCATTAACAAGAGAGCTGAACACACAAACTCCTTCACTTTCATTCTTTAACTCACATAATTTTTAAAAAGCAAAATTAAACTAGACTATAAAAATGAAACCAATTTAGTAAGAACACACGTTTTTGTTAACGAAACTGAAGCATCAGCTAAAAGTAAAAGTAAGCAAAAGACAGGAAAAGTGTTGAGCATGCTGCCATATGCATGTGGGCAGCTCAATAGTATTGATATCCAAGGCCTTGATCTAGTACAGACTTATGATTATTGGGGTTTTTCTTTTTTCTTTTCAAAGTCATGTGGACTTYGTTGGCCTTATTTATCTTGCTAAAAATAACTTTGAAGGGAGAAACCCAACAAAAAATGCTTTCCTCCTGCCCTCAGCCCAGTCAYTGATGCAGGTAACTCCCCTCTTCAGAGGGTGGCCACGAAACCAGTCTGGACATGGACAGGACCCTTTTGAACTGTCAGAAGTCAGCAAATCAACACTGGCTTTTAAAAGGTGACAACACTCTCATGCTGACTCTAAAACAGCAAGCGCCACTTTAACTGTGAAAATCACCCTTYGCAGCTGGCTACCCCCTGAGTGGGMCAATTAACCTGGGTGTGAGGTCGGRTGCCAGGAAAAGGTTCTTCAMCCAGAGGTGTTTGGGCACTGGCACAGGCTCCCCAGGGCAGTGGTCACAGYAYCAGCCYGACAGAGCCCAAGAAGCGTTTGGACAATGCTCTCAGRCACAYGGAGTGACTCTTGGGGTGTTCTGYGCAGGGCCAGGAGTTGGACTGTGATGATCCTGATGGGCCCTTCCAGCTCCAGTGTGGTCGGTGATCTCCTGGAACGCCTGTGTTCTCGTGGAAGCCGGGCTGGAGTGAGCCGGCGCCATCCCTCGTCGGGCACTCGCACCTGGCTCTGCTGCCCATCGCCGCCTCCTCCTCCTGGGCCAGAGGAGCTGAGCCGCGGGGACAGTTCCTCACACCCCTTCCCCAGACCTGGAGGCTACCGCGGYCACCCCGTCCCGCCGCCCCGTCCCGCCGCACCGAGGGGACCGGCCCTGCCCGCTCCCCGGAGCGCCCCGACCCCACCGGCGGAGGCCGTCCCTCCGCGCCCTTCCCCCGCCGCGGGGCAGCGGGGAGAGAAGGCAGGGAAAGCAGGCACCTGAGCCGTGCAGGAAGATGAGGGAGGCGGTGTGCCTGCCCGCGGGGGACACCACGCTCCGCTGCAGCGCCGCCATGCCCAGCGCTCTCCTCCTCCTTCTTCGGGCCGGCCCTGCCGGTTCCGGGCCTGCCACCGCCCTGTCTCCGCCCCCCGCGCTTCTGCTGAGGCCGTCGCAGCTCTCCTGGCACCGGGCTCGGAAAGATCTCACTCTTAACGCTGTGCTCGGTTGGCGAAGCTTGTTTACAGGCAGCAAGGCCTCGCTCTGACGGGCAGGAGCAGAGGCCGTGTTTAGCAATGCGCTGTGGCAGGGCCCCGTGCGGTGTTGTCACACGTGTGCGGGGAGGTGGCCGGCTGTGGCTCGCCAGGAGCGGCCCTTCAAGGGTAAAACCTGGCCGCAGGAGAGCCCAGGGCAGGCGAGTGCCAATGGTGGCTCCTTCCAGCCACTTCAGAAAGCGAAGTGCCTGCGAGGSCTACCGTCAGAAAGGCCCCGTAGASATKGAGAGCTTGTCTGACATAAATCTGCCTCTAAGCACAACTATTGTGATGCTCTTGCTGGTTTCTARTGCACTGCCATAAGGGGATTAAAAGTAGGAGCTTACTTTGCACTTTTAGGTAACCTATACACGTTCAAGGTCATGATTTATTTGATATTTTCCCTAGTGCTGTCCAGATTAGCCACCTGCCTTAGCGCTTTGAGGTCTGCGGCAGTGGGACGAGGATGGCCAGCCATAAACTCCGCTGTCGCCATTTCACTGGCCAGGTGCAGCGTGACCCGGGGTGAGCGGCGAGTGAACGGATTAGTTTTGCAGTTCATCACAAAGCCTTTTGGCACGGCACAGGGGCGCACCTGTTAGTTCTTAAAAGTGTAATGAAACCTTAGCCTCTTGAGGTAGCGCGTTATTACCTTCAGAACGGCCTGTGGGTTAAGTAGATGAAACATCAGTGTGTGTGTAGTATGAGGAGCATGCTGTGCTTGTATTTCTGTTCAAATTACTGTCCTGACTACTCTATTCCTACTTATTTAGGCCATAAAGTCTTAGGGTAATACTGGTTAAATGTAGACTAACAAGCAGCTTGTTATTATGGCCCTTTAGAATGTATGCAGCTGTATTTTTAATATATYTGAAAGCATTCTTCAGTGAGTCCAAGAAGTAAAGAAAAGGAAAAAATCTGATTGTTGTGGAAATTAATAAGTTGCATGGTGGGAAGGCTTGAAAGGTGTATCTAAAATTTTCTGTAATRTCAGTTGCCCAGTTGAAGAATACAAAATCTCAGCAAAGCAGTGCCAAAAAAGACAAGTCAGTATTGATGGTGTTTAGTAACTGAGACACAAGTTCMTTTTCCTTTGACTTACAGTATGCAAAAATAATTGTGATATTTGGGCCATTAAGGCTCATTTATTTTATTAGCTTAGAAGGAAAATTTTGTTTCAAAGGACATAGTCTCTCATTTAACTGTTCTTATTTGCAATATTTTAATTTTTCTTACCATCTTTCATGAGCATTATCATTTTTTTGAGCTACTAAGTGTGAAGAGTTACTAAACAAAAGTACAGCAGTCATATGTGGCTTTTGACAAACTCTTCTGCTCAGTTATGGCAACAACCCATGACCAAGTTTTTTAAAGCATATGAATTGTCATTCCCTGCCTCTGAGTTACAAGCTTGGAGGTACAAGATTTCTCTGTGCCAACAATAAAGCTTGATGCCAGGAACAAAACAAGGAATAAAATATCACGCCATGCAAAAATAGTACTCAAGGTTTGGAGGATTTTGTGTGTTGTTTTTTGGCTTTTTTTCCTAAAAGAAAAGTGGTCAAGGCATAAGATTTATTCTGATTGGTGTCTCTCAGGAAAAAAAACCAAAGGGCTAATTTTATCTTCCCCTTAATAAAGAGGACTACAGGGCTGGCTTCACAGCAAAGACTAATATTTAAAAAGGAAAAAAAAAAAAGGACAAAATAGACAGCTACATAGAAACTTGTGAGAGAATAGGAGCTCTGAACAAACATGAATAGAAAAACGCTGTGTTCCAATTCAAATGACAACAACTTTACTGTAGTGAATTTTATTTATATCCAAGGAAAATGTCTTCYTCGCCTGTTTTTAAAGTGTAATAACTTTATGAATATTAATGAAACTACATGACATTTAATGGTTAATGAAATTTAATTAAAATTTAAAAAGCACCCCAACCCCACAACAAAAACCCTTCATACTGTAATGAGTCTGAATTAAATTCTCAGATTTGGCCAGTAGATAATTCTATTGATTCTAGGAGTTTTCTGTTGTTAGAGGGATAGGACTCCCCATCTCTGCTAGTTTTGCCTTTTCTCTTAAGGAGGGGAAGGAGGAAACATGTCTGGAGTAAGAACTAGAAATGGTTATAACCAATGGTTATATAAAGGTATCCTGGGCCAAATCTGTAAAGCCTATGAAGCAGAGAGATGTGACCCAAGAAAATCATGGCTCCTCCTAAAACCAACCTTRCTAACTGAAAGGACTCTTCTGAATGAATAAATACTATGTTAATAACTGTAGAAAATTATGGGCAATATGGAAATACCTTGCAAATTTTGTTAAACTAACATATGCTTAAGTTCTAATGCTTATGCTGTTTTACAAGTCTTTCACTGCTGACATGTAACATCTCCAAAAGGAATTTATTACATTTCACAGCATTAATAAAATGTGATCCCACACCCTTAAAAACATATTCTGTTGCAACTTTTTTTTTTCCCTGGGCTTAATGAAATAAATGGATTACATTATGACTTAAATGTGAAATAAATATTGAAATGTAAATATGTGGACATATTTAAATTTTCCAAAGAAAGTAAAAGTTAAGAAGTTAAGTGTAAGCTTTGTTTTGTTCCTTAGGATAGGCCCTTGCTTGAAGTGCTTGCTGATTGGATTCTGTTCTTTCACACTGACTCTATTCAGAAAAAAACAGAAGACTTTAATTTACTTGTAACCATTTTGACACTTTTTCTCATTTAAAATGGCTTTGCACTTTAAAATTGACTTTAGCTGAAAGCAGTATGTTGCAGAGTAATTTTTATGTTCAGCATGTGTATATCTGTAACATCCAGAAACACATCTACATCTGTATATGCAGAGCTAATGCTCCTGCACTTGATATTGAAAAACAGTTTTCAGGTATTGTACAGTTACTGTTGGTTCTTTTAGTAGGTGATTAATCCACAGATACGTCATTGGTAATTACAAAGAATTATATCTGTTTTCTAATTGATTATATTCTTATATTTTTTTGTATTACTATGTAATTATTATATATCTAGGTGATTTTGACAGAAGCAGAGGTTTTGGTGTGGAAATAAAAATATCAAGTATTGAGCCTTTCCACATCCCCCGTTCATTTCTTTCCCAGAATCATTTAGTGACAGTGACATTATCATAATTACTATATCAGAAGGTGGCATAACTGTGTGAAGCTTTCCTATCCTTCTTTTCTTCATTATTGAGTGTAAAATTAAATGCTGAATTTGACTCCTTTGTACATTTCTTTCCTCTTGTGTCTTTCTTCCAAGGCTCACAACTCTGTCCCCTGTTTTTTAGACCTTTATGCCAGTTACTGTGGTTTGATAGAAATAAGAAACTGTCCTCTAATTTGCAAGTAGTTTCATGTATTGGAACACAACAGCAGTGCTTTGACAGAGAATTTATATGGCATTGTCTTGGGTTGATTTAATGATAACACTCTATTCCTATATTCTATATGCCCAAAAGGTGCCTGTGCCTTAAATGCGATCCAGAAGAGGGGACAGGGGCGGCTGGGAAGGCAGCGCGGGCAGTTCAAAGCTGGGGCTGGCACGCAGCCGTGGGCTTTTGGAGTTCAGCTCTGTGCTGCAGGAGTCCTGCTTGTTGTGTGCAGGGGGGTTACGTTGTTGTGGCTTAGCTAGCTCGTGCTTGTGAGCTTGGGCAAACAGCTCTCCCTGGACTGCCACCTCTTCTGTGACTCCTGTGATTTTCTGGAGCGGATCGGCGGGGCTGCGGTCCGAGAACCAGGAGGCAAGTGCTGACCAGCCGGGCTCTGGCAGGTACAAGCCGCGCTGTTTTGTCTCATCCTGGACTCCAGAAGAAGCCAAGCTGGCGACAGAAAAGCACACGGAGCCCTCTGTTTCATCCACAGTGAGGAGAGGACTGCCACCAGGTTGCCACTGTTGTCTGGATGGCCACGTGGACTTTTCTTTTGTTTCTTTTTTTTTCCCCTAGGATAGGAGCAGCGCCATCTTTCTCCATGCCACATGCCCAAGTGGCTGTTGGGGGAGGGAGTGGCATGCATTTCTGGACTTTTAAATATCTAACAGTTACTTTTTACCTGTGTCCTGTATGCACCTTGTTTCGTTAATAAACTTTTTCTCTTCACTTTTTCCCAAACATCTATTTCATATTGATGGGAAAAAATTATCAAATTTTTCACTTCAGAGGAAACATTTACCCTGTAATGTTTTTTTTTTCTCTGAAAACATTGTCTCAAACCAAGACAGGCATGGAGGTTTTTTTATGTTTCCTTTTCCAGTATGCATCTTGGCATAGTTTACRCTGAAAAGTTCTTGTCAAGAGCTCTCTGCACAACTGCCATAGTAGAGGTAGGAMGTGCCACAGAAATTACTATTCGGGCAGACAACCTAGTGGTCCATTCAAAAGTGGTCAGACTCTCACCAAGCCAAACAAAAAAATGTGTTTCCATTCATACATTTTAGTTGAACAGTTGAGTCTTTAGCAAATGTTCAACTTTCAAAATATGTAGATTTTGAAAAGTTGTTTTCTGTCCAGTCAGAAGTATGTTTTGGTGCTGCATTCTCCTGTTCCTTTGTAGGAAAACATGTCCCCTGGCTAGGTTACATCAATAATATTGTGGATCATACGTATGATTTAGTGTGGAGTTGAGTAAGGGAAATCAGTCCACAAGAAAAAAGCAAGTGTGAATATTGTGTGGCAACATGGGATCTTGACCCAATGTTTCTGGTYACCAGAACAAGGTAAATAAGTAATTAATAAACAGATCATGCTCTTTTTGGCACAAAAGACAATCAGTATTAATGGTCTTGTGACATAATTTTGCTATCAGGAGCCAGATATTTACTGCATGCCATCCAATTTGTTTAAAAACAAMCAAGGGCT